AAAAAAAAAAAAAAAAAAAAAAAAAAAAAAAGAAATACAGCAAAAATCGAGGGCATGGTTTTTTTGCCAACTATTAAACAATTTGAGCACAATTATTGTTGGCTTTTTTTTTTTTATACAACGTATTTCTTCAGCTCTGTTGACAATTTTTTTCATTTTTAATCCGTTCTATGGTTTCTGATTACAAAAATAGTGCTAACTCTTTTTTCACAAGAAGCGAACAAACGATATAAACTTTGCTGTACTGTATTCCCTACCACTGCGTTCGAATCGAGTATATATACTCCTCCCTGCTGAAACTTTGTTTTTGATTCAATCCAGGCCACAGACAAATGACGTAGATACAACGGAGGGCAACGAAAGAATATAAAAAGTGTACGAAAACGATTAGCTATAAATTTATTCAATGCAATTCCAGATGTTTTTTCCAAAAAAAGAGAGCTAAGAAAAGTGCTGTAAAGGAATAGAAGAAAATTTTTCAAAATATTACTGGTTAGTTTGCGAACACATATGAGTACGTAGGTCTGCTGTTCATCTAGACAAACAAGCTGTCCAAAATCAAGTGTCTTACAAGATTTCATAAAACATGCTTGGAAATAAATTGAAGAATTTTTTTCAAGTTTTAAATTATAACTTAGAACCCAGAAGCGTGGCAGATTACAATCTTTGACTGCAGCAAACGCTGAAGTGCAAGGGCAGTTATATATCATAATTTCAACAAACTAGAAATTCAACTTTGACGTTTTTGCCGTATCACTAAAGAAAAGCTTTATTCTTTTGTTGTTTACCTCAGAGTGGTGTAAATTAAATTTCTTCAATTTGCTTTCATGACTACGGGACCTGACGTGGACTAGTCAACTTCTCTTGAATATTTGCAAAGTTGTTAGAAACAACTGAGAAAGGAATAATTCAGCCTAAAAAATAAGTTGGTTTTCTCAAACAGTTTGAACCATTTAAATTTAAATAACGACTCTAATTTTTTAGTCTGAAACATTTGCTGTCAGCCTTTTCTTCTGTCCTTAAAACCTGTTTTAACCAGAAATCCACTGAACAGATAGACACAGTATACGCCAAAAACTCTGTCAAGAAAAACTAAAAACGCTTTTGAACACCTCCTTTTTTTGAAGAGCAGTTGTATTACTTCAGAGATTTGATTAAATGATCAGATTTAAACAAGAAGCAATAGTTTTTAACCTCATAGTACGTGCCGACAATCAAAACTGGAACTTTTAATTTAATTTTTTATTTAACATTTCACAGTTTGTAGAGATAAATGTGAGATAAAATTTGTCAACATTTTTCACAGTTTGCGTCGCATTCGAAACTAACATCCCAGTTTTAATTTTCGATTTTGAAAGTTGTAAATTCTTTACAAATAACTTGTATATGTACATGCATTAATAACTAATACCGCGACTACTCCACCTGCTGCTAACAGACACTTCTAAAAATAAAAGTGCAAGAAATAATTTTTTTAACCAGTGTAAGTGTTTCATACTTAACCGTACAGTGGTGAACAGAGATGTTTATGCTTCTCATCAGTTTCGGAGTCAGAAAAATTAAAATTCTAACTAAATGGAACAGTCGGTAGATGTTTGGCAGAATTTATGCGAGCAGTATGGTTAATGAGACACGCCAACGTAGGACTGTTAGCGCACTATGCTTCTTCAGGATACCACTGCTAAGTTGTCAGTTGTTTTCAAATAAAATAATCCGTACTATTTCCAATGTTAATACTTTCCTTCATCATCATAGTGCTTTTAGTTTTTACAAAGAGACTGTTTGAGTACATTTCGCCCTCCCAGTGTTCCCTCTCACTGATCTATGAAAACCGAAAAGTTCTGCTATTTACCCTTTTGAACTTTTTGTTAGAAACGATCGCTGGGAGGGGAGAAAGCAAATCTTACCTATTGTTCTTATCGTTCTGTGATTTTAACCCTCCTTACCCCGCTATTGAATTACTTTTCTTTAAAGGCAGTTTATACGGAAGATATAGCGCAGCGAAATGGAATAGAATACATTAAAAACTGAACTAGAGAACGCGATTGAAAATTGAAGTGTGATTACTTAAAGCAAAGATTATGAAAGATACTGAGGTCTATCTAATTACTGCGTTTTTAATGCTTATTTGTACGACTTTTCTGTGACTTTTTACAAAAGCTTCTTTTCCCTTGAT